TGGTTCTAAAAGGGTTCATCAAAACGCAGAATACTAATTGTTAATTAAGCAGTTTGACCTAATTTTGGTGTCATGAAGACTCGATATTTTTAATTGAAATCTTCAGAATAATTAGAAGAGATATTTATCTACGTTCATTTTGCTTAAATACAGTAGATTTCTTACACCTACCAAAAAGCATAACGAATTTAAAAAGTTTACATAAACCACATAATTCTATAGAAATAGTTTTAAAAATTACAGTTGGATTTTTTTAGTTAAAACTTTCAGATACGTTAAGAGACACATTTCTCCGGTCTTTGGCGTAAAGTTTTCAAAAATTTGAGCAAAAACATTTTTCGACCTATAAAAATAAACGGAATGCCACTTTAACATGAATCACCACATATTCTCAAAATGGTTGAATTTTGCACTTAAAATACAATTATTCGCTCAAAGCCAGACAAGTCACATAAAAATCAATTCAAGACACAATAAGGAAGCAATTCTGATATTGTGCCAAGAGATACCCGCTAACGAGTGCATTTTAAAGACATTATAATCAAAATTTCAATCATTTGAATTTTCTATATAAAAAAAAACACATGGAAAATATTCAAAAAATGATTAAAATTTTATACAAGACTACCTACAGTGTACAACTTGGAATAGTTAACAAATAAAAACAAATAGCTCGATGTAATATTATATTTTTGCCTAAATGTTCATATTACCAAATGTGTAAACTTTATTAGATATTTTAAATAAAGTTAACCGAAAAAAAGCGAACTGACCCATGACGAAAATACATCAGACCGAACGATCATGAAATGTGCGAAAATGTAGAGGGCGAACATGTTTCGTGGCGAACGGACCGGATTCAAAAGAGCAATTATCTATACATAATGTAGAGGAGGGGGTGGGAGGGGGCACACTTCAACACAAGTCCCACCAGTTCCAAAGTTACTTCTACTCAGTTGATTTAAATGCCACATAGAAAATCCCAAATTCTAGTACTTACCTACTTCTTCTTCAACTAGTTTGAAATATTTTTTATTTTTTTCTTGTTGTTTTTTATTTTTCTTAGTGTTATTATTTTGGTCTTTCTTTACTGTAATATACAATATATATTTAAATAGACACAATTTCTCGATAGTTTATAGTAAAAACAATTAGGCTAGGTCAAATCGACTCAACTTAGAGGATTTTTTTTGTCTAAAAAGTATACATTGCAGTGTATGTAAATTTTTGTCAATAAAGTCTGTATAATCCAAAGTATCATCATGTTTGCGTCACTAGTAAATTGAGTCTATCAATGTTCTATTGTAGATAATCGAGACTAAATAGCCAGAATTCCACAGGTAAATAATGGCATGCTTCCAGCTCTTGAATTACACGATATTAAACAATTAACACATATCAGAACTCTATCCCAAGAAATTAAAAACAAATCATGTTTGTTCAGGTCAGTTTTAAACGAAAAATTGTAGTTTTTGTGGTTAATAAGGTTAGAAATGTCTGCAACTTGCGGACTAATGAACGCCTTCCAGGATTCAATGAGGGAAATTTTGCCAGGACAGCGGCATTAGACTGCTCTTTTTTAATAAACGCATTATCATTGTTTTATCTGATGAGATTTGTGTTCAAACTAGCATCAAATGTAACAATAGTAACAGACACTTATAACTGAGAATGCAACCATAAATACATTATCAGACCTATTAATCTTCACACTTCGACTGCATACTGGTTTATGGTTTCGCTTCAACAATCAGTATGATGGTATGAAAACAATATTGGACTGCAGGATAATACTTCGCTATCAAACTCCATTTAGAACGTGAATATTCACACAACGCAAATGGCAAAAGAATATTTTGAGTGAACAGACAATTGCTCTGGAAGTTTTTTCTTACCGGGAAACATGTTGGTCACAGGACATAAATTACTCTTTGGGTGCGTCACCTTAGAAACTGCAGGTCGCTATCAAAAATTGTATATTTAATGGTTTCATATGATGATGATCACAATAAAGTATCAGATCTATGGGTTATTTTTTCTGAAATCATACTACGATTTTGCTTTAAATCATCACTGTACAGACTGACCCTTTACTAAGCAGCTAATAGGAAGCTAATTTAAGTATTCCCTTCTAAATACATGTTTGGTTGTAGCCTGTATTTGTCTTCAAATTACGGTGGAACAATCCTTACTTACCGGGTTTGTGTTTACGTTTCTTTCTTGTTACTCTTCTTCCACCCACAATGAGTGCCCCATATGCCACCTCCTCGTGTAAAACAGCTTGATTAATAGCATTCTGTATTCTTTCTTTCAGAGGTTGACGCATATCTTTAGATGTTAAACTGGGGCACTCAAACTTATAACTTCTCCATATTGGCTGAAATTGACCAGAATATGCAATTTTTGAAGAATGTTAAAATGGCAAAACAATCAAGATATCAATTTCAAATATATTGTATTACGTATTTACTTAGAGAAACGATTTTCTCACCTTAAAATGATGATACAAATGGATAATTTCAATTCTGAATTAGACAATTTCTTTCAGGAATAACGCGCAAAAGCAAAATTGAAGACGGGCATACAGCAGGGAGCGTTCTTTTCAGCTTTCGTATCAATGGTTTTTATCAGGATATTTGATATTTTGCACATATTATGGGGACAAGTCTTGTGAATGAAATCCAGATAAGAATATTGGCTACAAAAGAATACACGATTCTTTCTCGCCGACACACCTGGATTCCAAAACATGAATCGGTTCTAAAAATAGCATCATCTTATCTACTGTACCGGTAAGATATTACATTCCAGAATGGTGCACTATAGAATTCATATGCCACACTGCTACTAACTCAACATTTGAAGAAATTTTTGTACCATAATATTCTAAGAACATTTTCAAATAAAATGTACCAAAAATTTGAATGAAAATATACTTACATATATTAGTTTAAAGAATTGTTTTCGTGCAGGATAATTCTCAAGACTTTACTCGATACTTGCAGACTTGCCTGCACGTGGTTTCAGTTCTCACAGAATCTCATATAATCTCGAGATTGGTACCACATGTTTATGCAGGTTGCTAGGTAATCAAACTCACTCATGCCGTGTAATAGTTTCTTCGAAATGTGGGATGGCTTTTCAGATGCTATGAAATTTTACTATTGAGATTTACATCTATATGATGTGCTGTTCCGATTGAGCCCAAATTGTCTACATCGTGCCAATTCGAACATCCTCATAGCTACGTTAAGCGCATTACTTATAATAATCCGGAAATGACGAGATGCTATGTCAAACAATACACATCATAAATAGCATAAATTTAAATGACAATACTACATACCTTTCCACCTGAAATAGGTACTTTTTGATTTCTTTATGATTTAATGTGAACAGTAAAACATAACTGAAGAAGGCGAAACGCTTTAATCATTGTTGCTTATTTTTTTGATATTTTTTGTATCAATGAATGTATTTTTTGAAAACTTTGAAACGACGCCGCCCTGGAAATTAGATTAACAGATAAATTCGAACTGCACTGCTAGTATTAAAGTCCATGAGTTCTGTTTAAATATTAGGGATGTTACGTGGATCTACTTGCGTTGTTATGGCCAAAGAGTTGGTGATTTTAGATCGATTTCGCCAAAGCCGTCGTCAGTAGAGTTGAGACAAAAGGTATAATGGAATGCATTTAGAAAGAGTGATGGGGGTGGGGGGAAGAAGAGTAAAGAATATAAAGGAGGCAGTGTGGAAGGAAGTAAAGCCAGGTTTTGGGGTGCCAGTGGAAAACGATTATAGAGAAAACAGTGGAAGAGTTGAGTGGACTGTGGAAAAGGAATGGAAAAAGAAAAATATGAGATTGGCCTCAATGGAGAGAAAAGATGGGGGTAGGTGGTTGTGAGATTCTCAGGCGGCAGTGGAAGAGGCAGATACAGTCAGGGTCTAGAGGAAATTACTCAAGGTACTCATTGAACCTCCGTGCAATGCTTTGAAGGCTTATCAAGGATCGGTGTCTTCTTGCTTACTAACCAATATCAAAAAGTCATATACATGTACTGACGACTGTAGTATATTGATGTTATAGCCCAGTTGAATAATCTTTGATATTGACTGACATTTCAATATACATCATAAAGTTATACATTGTTACAGTTCATTCATATTCCACAGTTGTTAGAGCATTATTATAACTTCCTGTGTATCATCCAATCATATGTTCTATAGTACATGTGGACAGTTCTAAGTTTGCCTTCTTTTAATTGAACATGTCTTTTAAACTGTTCTGGTTTCATTGACAGTATTAGCGGGGGTTAATTTGTTCATTACTTACTAATATATTATTGAGAAGTAAATATATTACAACGACTGGGGTGTCATAGAGCATCAATATTAGATTGTTTGGACTGTTCGCTTAACCGGTAGTTCAACAAGAAGCTCTATTTTGGTAAAAGGGTTAGGGTGTTCAAAGTAAAAGGGGGGGGGGGGGGGGGGGGGGGGGGGGGGGAAAC